CCAATCGCAATAACGTAAAGTATTATTACCCGCGAACCAATGAGTCAAATTTAAGAAACAACCCACTGTTAGAAAGCGGAATGGCTACGCTTTAAAATGAATGTAAACGTTAACGTTTTCATCTATTATTTGTTTAGCAATTTACATTTCAGTCGAGGATTGCGCTTTTTTTTATACACCCTGTATATATATATATATATATATATGACTATCTGATTTTCAGTCAGTAATACCAAAACATAAACTGTTTAGGAAATAACTACGGAATACTTTAGACATGCAAGTAGAAGTGCTCTTAGCGAGATTAACCAGCTTTGATGTAAGATATAAGGCTATGTTATAAGGCAGGATTTGATTAATTTAGCAATAAATTAGCTAGTCATATATTAATTATTATTGTCTATAATTGCAACGCCTTGACAGACTTTTTGAATTTAGCAAGAGATTCAGTTGATTTAAGTTCTTTATCTAGCGAGTTCCAGAGAGTGACAGCCTGGTAAGATATGGATTTTTTTAGATGACCAGTCAGTGTTAGGTTTCGGTAGTACATAAATCATTTTATTTCTAAGTTCATAGCGATGGCCAGTTTTTATCAATAGAGACTGCAACGTTGCAGGAACCAGATTATAATAGCTTTTATAAGCTAAGTATAAAAGTTGTTGTTTAAACATACTGCTCAGCGTAACTGACTTCACTTTTGCAAGAACATATTTTGCTGAGGTGCATGTAACAATCCAGGCTAAAGATAACTTTCGCTGACCGAACATGTATTCGTCCCAACTCGTACTCGTCGAACCCTAAGGTCTTTCCACATGAACCCTATATCAAAATTCCGTACGTGATTGAAGATAACACAACTTTGAAGTAAAAATCTAGCTTCGTATTAATTGGCAAGAAGTACAATAATTTCAGTAGATTAAGTTTTTGACTAAATGACAGAATTAAATCCGAGACATGACTGCTCCACCCCAGATTACAATCAATTTGCAGCCCCAAACATCTGGTCGACACGACTTGTTTTATCTGGCTTCCTCCTAATTTGATGCATTGAAGTGGACCGATAAACTTCCTTCGACTCATCAGCATGAACTCCGTTTTGTCAGGATGCGGCGTCAATCAATTTTCGCAGCACCATTTGTAAAGTTTGCCTAACTATCCTGTCCAGAATAATTGCTACCAAATCGTGATTTGGCGCAATGACATAAAGTGTAGTATCGTCCGCATACACGTAAATTTCTCCTTCTTTCAAGTCATCGATATCTGGCAAATCATTACAAAATAACGAGAAGAGAATCGGACCTAGCACAGATCCTTGGAGTACACCAAACTTAACAGGCATTGACTTCGATATATGACCATTGATCACAGTCGCTTGATGGCGATTCGAGAGATAGTTCTTTAGTTGTTTACTACTGCACTAGCTACACCTCGAATACAAACTACACTGGGTACACCTCAAACTACACTTGGTACACCTCAAGCTACACTAAGTACACATCAAATGCAAACTACACTATAGCTACACCTCGTGAATGCAAACTACACTGGGTACACCTCAAACTACACCAGGGTGTGATAATTCGCGTACTTACGTACCGGAGGTACGCCGATATTACGGTCTGGTACTTCCTTCTTAGTACGGTATTGAATACCTTGGGCGTACCAACGTGGTACTTGGCTGAAAAGAAGGCTTCTTTTCAGCCAAGTACCACGTTGGTACGCCCAAGGTATTCAATACCGTAATTTAGTTGGTATATCATGTTTCTGAGATGTTTGGCATGAAACGTGATTGGACTAATGGTACTAAGAAACGTTGGAGTCGATTGTTTGTATATGCAATTGTGGTTCTTTTTCTACCTCGTAATTTGAACATACTTTTCAGAAACCTGTATTTTATTAACCTTATTTTAATGACTAAGTACACATTGAGTACTAAGTTTGTGCAAGTACTCGGCAACAACCATTGGCGAACCAGTCAAGTACGACTAAAAATATTGAATTATCGCACCCTGAAGTCTACACTAAGTACACATCAAATGCAAACTATACTAACTACACTTCGAATGCAAACTACATTGGGTACACTTGGAACTACACTAAGTACACATCAAATGCAAACTACACTGGGTACACTTCGAATGCAAACTACACTAAGTACATATCAAATGCAAACTAGTAAACTACACTAACTACACTTCGAATGCAAACTACATTGGGTACACTTGGAACTACACTAAGTACACATCAAAAGCAAACTACACTGGGTACACTTCGAATGCAAACTACACTAAGTACATATCAAATGCAAACTACACTGGGTACACTTCGAATGCAAACTACACTAAGTACATATCAAATGCAAACTACACTGGGTACACCTCAAACTACACTAAGTGTATATCAAATGCAAACTAGTAAACTACACTGGGTACACTTCGAATGCAAACGAAAAACATGCAAAACATTGTTACGTTATTGGTTAGTTGGGCAAAACTACAATACGCTTATACGCACGTGACAGTGAAGGACCAGATTAATGAATAAACGTTGACTATAAATGACTAACATAGATAAAGGGCCGACCATTTAACTTGGGGGGGGGGGTGATTTACCGCTGGAAGGGATTTTTTTTCTAGGATCGTTATGTGCAAGATTTTTTTTTCCTATCCCATCACCATGTACGATAGTTTTTTACCACTCTCTCTTTCGCAGCATTTTTTTTTTCAATAGCTTATTCTATTTAGATTCTTTAATAATAGTTAACATTGAGTTTTCTAGCTTCATGCATTGCTTTTAATAATTCATATTGCTATGAGATATAACATTTGTTTCAGGGCCTCTTTTAGGGATGTGTAACTGTGAGGGGACATATATAGCGAGGGATCTCAGGAAAATTTCCAGTCGGCAAGTCTGTATCACTGCAGCTACCAGCATATATATGCCTGGTTTAACTAATAAGTATACGTCATATGGCAGCAGATCAGGCCATAACTAGGATTCTGAGACAACCGAGTTGACAACCGAAGGTGCGAGCATCTAGAGGGGTCTGGGGGCATGCCCCCCAGAAAATGTTGGATTCCTTGAAGCTCAGATAAGCTATTTCCAGCATTTTGAGGAGTTTTCCAACAAGAAGTTAACCTTACACTAGTCCCTGAAAATCAAACTAGCTGCTCTTCTGGGACTGGTCAAATCGATCCCTGCAACCATGCTGTTTTGCAACATTTTTTCCCCACCAAATACTGGGGCAGGATATTTTTCCCACAGTTTGTTAGTGCAGGTATTTTTTTTTTGTTCAGAATAACCTTGCAGGAATTTTTTTTCAAAATCACCAAAAAGTTAAATGGTCGGCCCCTAATGGGTTATTTTGTTCTTCTAATCAGTTTCCAAACCATCTACTTTATTAACTATGATTAGACTAACATATTTTAAACCACACCATAATTAGCATTTCAATAAACAATAAATTTAGTATATTCATACCAGATCACGCATACCAAATAACTTAAAGAGTTCTTCTTCATTTTCATTGCAAGATCATCAGAGTACAACATGAAGAATCTAACATTTTCTCAGAAGCGAAGCTTAACAGGTTTTGCATTTTCTGTGCGAATATTCGTCATGGGAGCAGAGCAGGCAGTGATATTTCCCTCTATATGGCCATATTTACAAATGTTTCACGCTGATTATTGGTATTTTGGTCTGGTATTGTCTGCTTACTACACAGTTAGCATTGCCTCCGTCATCTTGGTTGGTCGTCTCGCAGACGGAAATACGAATCTTCGGTTTTCCGGATTTATATCGAATCTGGCCGAGGTAAGCATTGCTGTATTGCGTCGAAATCAGGGCCTTTTTTTGATCAGGGCCTTTTTTAAGGATTTTCTCGTGGGCAGGGGCATTTTTTGAAAAGTGACCTTTATGTGAGATAATATATTGGAGGGGGATAGGCAATGGCTGAAGGTCATGTATGTGACTGACATACCATTTCAAAATTTTTGAAATTTGAGACCCGGAAATGCCATTTCCTGCATTCTGAGCATCCAAATTTGCTCCAAAATGTATGCTAACCGTACTTGTATTTGAAATAAAAGAAGGAATAAACGCACAAAAAGTAAAAAATATTAACCGTAATTTATCATTACTTATTAGAGGAGGATAGCAATGGCTAAAGGCCACGTGTGTGGGGGCAGATTGTGGAGGCATATTCCCCAGAAAATGTTTGAAATTTGAAACCCGGAAATGCTATTTCCTGCATTCTGAGCATCCAAATTTGCTCTAAAATTTATGCTAACTATACTTGTATTTGAAATAAAAGAAGGAAAAAACGCACCAAAAATATAATAATTATTAGTTACAATAATTTATCATTACTTAGTGGTAGAAAAATGTACAATTTAAATCGATTTTCAGTAAACAAGGACTAAGGATAAAGCCTAAAACTTACTTTCTGTTTATCTATTTGTTATTCTTCGCTGGTTTGTTTGTATAAATTTAGGAAAATGGGACTTTTCCTGGGGGGGGGAATGTGATTTCGTAGGGGGTGCAAAAGGGGACTGGGGGCATTTTCCCTTGTATGTTAAAAAAGGCCCTGAATTTGATCCAATCGGATTTCTACCGTAACAATAGTGAAATCCTTATGGCCTCCTATTTATACTTCGCTGCTTTTTTGCATGAGAAGATTAGAACCTGAGCAATTTAGGGGTAGAGTGAAGGAAGGACAGGAGCGAGAAAGAGAGAAAGTACTGGGGCTCTAAAAAAGCAACCGTCCCCCCTTCCCCGAATTGTTTCTGACGAACAGTTTGTAACGAACAGTGTGAAATCATTCGGCTCTAAATTAAGCTATATATAGCATTGAATTTCAGGCATACTGAGTTTAATTAAAGAACTGAGATTTATAGCAACGAAAGGCGGTCATTAAGTGGCAACCCTATTAACTCATCAACTTAGCACACGTAATTTTTTTCTAGATTGTTGGTAATACAATATACTCACTTCACTTCAACATGTCCTTGCCCCTGCTAGGTCGCATGGTAGCAGGCCTTGGAGAAGGGTATGTGTCAGCTATTTGGGCAGAACTAGCCAGAATCACAACTGAGGAAGAACGTACTCGATACTTTGCATTACTAAAAGTAAGTTACCTTTTGGGAATTGTCTTAGGACCAGCACTAAACTTCTTTCTAATGGAGTTTGATTTCTACATCGGTAACTGGCACATTGATTTCCGCACATCGCCGGGATTTTTCATGGCTTTAATGTGGATACTAGTCACTGGTATCATGTTTGTATTTGTCTACGATCTCTCAAACGAGATGAGAAAAGAAAGAGGGTATGAACCAGTTTCAGACGGTCTAAGTGAAGAACAGTTTTCTAAAAAAGAGCAACTCCAAGAAGCGTACAGCATGAAAAGCTTAGGGAATAAGCACAGTGAAATGACGTCATCTCCGTTCATAAATGATGACGTCATCAAAACCGAAGAGATAGCAAGAGATTCAACGAAATCCAGCAATGGTCCATTCTTAGATGCTGTAATAGATATTTTTGCCAAATTCCACGTGATTGTAGTGGTATACTCGATATTTTTCATTTATATTCTCCATTCATCTCTTCAGGCCATCACCCCCCTGGTTGCTGAGAACATGTTACTTTGGAGTGAAGACAACATCAGTTTACTATTTACAATCTGGGGTGTAGAAATTGTTATTTTTGCAATTATTCTCTTCATTTTGTCGCAGAAAATTTCAGATCGACACCTGCTTTTGATTTCCGCTATTTCTGGTAGTCTTGCATCTGTTGGTGTTATTCTGTTGGCGTCCTCTTCCCCGATGTCTAACAGAGCTTACTATAGTTTGTTAGTAACGATTGCCTTGGATGGAATACCAATAGTTGTTATTAACGCAGTTGGTCGTTCTTCAGTTTCGAAACACACTAGTCTAGACAATCAAGGCCTGGTGCAAGCCATACTGAGTGTATTGAATAGAGTGGCTTTACTTACAGGACCATTAATTGGTAGCAGTCTGTTTACACATAAAGAAATCCTAGCAATTATTCTATCAGAATCACAGATCCTCGAATTGGTCTTGGTTATACTTGCTTTCAACAAACTCAAAGCGAATCTCAGTAAAAGTTAACGTGGTTCTCGTTAAACACAAGAGTGGGCAAAGTGCAAATTGGGACCGCATGTTACATGTATGGTATAATTTAGAATTGTTAGAACCTATATATCCTTCAGTGATAACCCCTGACACCTTTGATAGTTACCCTTGAAATGTCTAACATCAACTCTGAATCCCTAAAACATGGATTTTGATAGGGAGGAAAAAATTAAACATTTGAGTGACACTGAATAAAAATTAAGAATGATGAAAGCTAAAAGGTGGGGAAACTTAAGAAAAAATCGGGGAGAATGGAACGAAGAACGATGGTTAAGTTAAAAACAAAATAAGATTGAGAAATATGTTGTCCTGAAAAATATTTGTTGACGTTGTACTTCCCACCCTATTCAAAAAGGTCTAGCGCCGCCTCTGTTAAAAGAAGGGAGCAAACAGCTGACGCTGACGTTAATGAAGGTAAGTTTTAAATTTTTAAATATTGATGTATCGTTTGCTTTATGATTGCTTTAAAAACTAATCGTTGCGTATAATGGAAAAATAATTTCAGTGTATTTTTATTGTTACCCTTTTTTACTGTTATATTACAAATTTTCAATGAAGAGGAAAGCAAAGTTATTTGCATGCGAGAATTTGAAATAATTTTATTTCAAACTCAAAGTTATCGATAAAAGCCAGTTTAGTTTTAAGAACATTTTAAAACGTTTTGGCTTTTGCGAAGCCTTTGTGGTTGAATTTTACATTAAATTGAAGCATATATTACGTATAATAACGTATAATAACATACCTAACATATATATGTTTGGGAAATTAATAATTTTGTAATTAAAACACAGTAGCCGAGGCTCTTTTCATTTTATTATATTTTGCACTAAAAACTTTCTTCAAATTATAAAGTATAACCATGCAGGTATAATTTATATGTGATTCAGTTGGGGGTAGTTTTAGTTTGATATAATGATATAAAAAAACATCATGAGAATGCGATTTAATATAGCTACACTTTATTATATATCGTAAAATAGTAAAAAAGTAATGCCTAAATACGCACTGTCTGATTCACAATATTGGTGGACTTGTTTACTATGTCATTTTCATAATTTATTTCACTTTCGTCGATTTTCAGGCCATGTCGCTGAACCTGCCCTATATTGTATTATTTGTATATCATCTAATATTGATTTCTGCATGTGTGTGTTGTTGTTATGTACTCAGGTGATTATGATGTTTGTGATGTTGCTCTGAGTGTGCACCGGGCAAGCTGAAAAGTTTGCCTGACCACGGTGGGAATCGAACCCGCGACCTTTGAGACCTTGGGATACTAGTCCAACGCTCTACCAACTGAGTTACGAGGTCAAGTCGGTTCGAGTTGGTGACCGGGGCCGCGGAAGCATTTCGAAAGTGCATTTCGAAAGCATTTCGGGCATTGACCAAAAGGGGCACTTTTGTATATGACCAAAATCAAACGATTTTATGACGTTCACGAGCCGAACGAAAATTTTTGAAAATATGGAGTCTCTATAACGTCGGAAATGGCCTTTACAGAGTCTTTACTACTGCCGAGGGCATTTTCTTTCCAGAAAAAGATGGCGTTTATTCAAGAAATACTTTTTTCGTTCTTTAAATGGGGCATTTAAGCCCAGAAAACTGAAGGGCACTTTTTTCACTTTTAAAAAAAGTGGGGGGGGGGGGGCACATGCCCCCATTGTCCCCCGGTTCCGCGGCCCCTGGTCACTTGGTGATATTTCGGAACTGAGTCTAGTTCCTTCAACATCAATACATTCCATGATATCGAAGGAACCAGACTCTGTTCCGAAATATGACCAACTCGAAGGGCGACTCAATTGAGCTCGCAGCTCAGAGCATTGGACTGGTGTCTCGAAGGTCGCGGGTTCAATTCCCACCGTGGTCAGGCAAACTTTTCAGTTCGGCCCGGTGTGGATGAGTAACATCACAAATATTTATCACTTATTTACTGAGACCGAGAGAAGCAGTGTGTTTTGTGGACCCGAGACCACATCTTGCTGACGTAATAATAACATTAATGCAAAATGTCGGCACAAAGGAAAAAGGTCGCTTCGCGCGAAAAAAATCGCTAGTGGAAAACCGGTTTTAAAATGTATGCAAACGCTCCAGCCAAACTGCCAACTATAGGCATTTAAGAATTTTCAAGCGAAGATCCTTTATCTGACAGTTGTATTAGGTCATTAGCTATATGGCCGTTGTTATGATATATAAATACTAATAAGTTTGTCACAGTTTTGGAGGGCCACTAGTTTATTATTTAGTTTTACCGCTTATATAAGTGTTACCCTCTTTAAATAAAGTCGCAAACCAAACCAAAAGATTACATGTTGATTTACATACAAACTACATACGTTTAGAATAGAATAGAATGGAATGGAATGGAATGGAACACAATAGAATAAGCTTACAAAGACAAGTTGCGACAAGAGAAAGGAACAGTACTTGAATTGAATTGAAATTGAATTGAATTGAACCAGCGAGCACACGAGAAGTAAAAACTACAACTGATCTCGGACTGTTGTAGAATTGCCACACGGCTCTTCGAACTTTATTGCTTTTGTTAGGCAAACTCGGCCTGGCTGTAATCACTCTAATAAACCGAGACTCTTCCTTTTCAGTGACGATCTATGTAAAACGATAAATCACTCGAAATTACAGAGGAAAATGTAATTGCTCGTGAGTCCATGCCTCGCCTTGCACTAATGAATGCTACCTAAACTATTTTATAAATACTATTGTATTTACCAAATGCAGACCAGCATCTCCAAATCTCAGCTCAGTTACAGGCAGAGTGTTCTTACCCGAAAGCCACTGCACTCTGTCCAAATATTATTCTGCATGGTCGCAGTTACACGGTTCGTTTGGATCATTTCACATGCGCCTGGTGTTTAATTGGTGTCGGAATTGCCGGGGGAATCCCCTCCCTTGTTTGGTAAAAGATGTGGCTTTTCTGGGTCTATCCAGTCTATAATAAGATCAGTTCATGAATAGACCCCATCAAATTAAAAATTCGAAATTCGAGATTAAAAATTAAAAATTCGAGCGAGAATTTGAGGGAGTTCGGTTTACTAGTTATTCTTGTCATTATTCTCCTAGTGATTCAAACCTCGCGTGAACCTTTAATTATTTTTTTATACAACCGGCTACAGGAAACAAACTTACGAAAATTATGTCATCTGTGGAAAGTGGCCATTCACAAAATACGTGACGCTCGTGGAGGTAGGGGGGTGTTTGATCAGGAGTCACATAGTGTCACAAGAGGTGGGGGTATCACAAGCAGTATCACGTGACGGAGAGGCGTATATAGGGGAAAATTTATTCCTGTCAATCCCTGTCTATAACAAAACAAGACTGTGCTTGCAAATATGTGCCCTTAGATGACAAATCAATGGTTTCTTTCAAAATTCGCCTCCTGACATCGCCATGGAATACGGCACTCCCGTTTATTCAACGAACCTGAGTGGGAAACTGTTTAGGCTGAGGTTTAATAAGGCATTGAAA